CAGGAGCACCATCATGCATATACCACATTGCTTGCCTTGTGTTTAAAGGAACGTCATCTAAAAAATCATCTAATTCTTCTAAATGTCGCCTGTATGTATGTCCATCCAGCCTTGATGGCAAGAAAACGGGTCCAATAATTACATCGCCCACAATGCCAGCCCAAACGTTATGAGAAAATCTCCATTGTGATTTCCAAGTTTTCTTAAATCTTGGATTTTCGTCCGCCCAACTATGTAAATTTCTCAAATTGAAGATTGCATCTTTAGAAAAAGTGGATTCATCTGTAAAAAGTACTTTTTCTAAAAACTGATCATCAATTTGGATTTTGTGCTGCATTATTTGGCAATATGCAGACTGCATATTGCATATTGCAGTCGCAGTGAGTAATCAGCCAGTCGAACTTCCTGAACGTTGTAACAATGAAATGGATAAAGCTGTTGCTCGTGAAGAACACGCCAGACAGTTGTTTTTGAAGTTAAAAAATGCCTCGTCATATCTAGTACTAGCTGTAGTATTTTCTTCTACGTAGTCTAGAATATCTTCTTCTAGTTCGAGTGTTCGGGCTGATTTTACGTTACCGTTGTTAGTAAATTTCGGCTTACACGTCCCATTTTCCCTTAAACGGGTTTCAATCTTTAAATATGTTTTTCGATTGGGCGCTCTGCGGTTCGAAAATTTCTCCTGATAACGGTTAGCGGCTGCTTGACATTGCCCTAATGTCAAAATCATGTCAGTTTGTTCACTAAANTACTGGTACCCCATGTCACCAACCCTCCATAAAATTTTGATACATGGCCCAACAGTAATAGAAAAAGCACTGTTGCCTATAGGAGCTCTATCAGAAGAGGCGGTAGAGAGCAGAAATAAACATTTCCGTCAGTACAGGGAAAAATATTCACGTAAATTTTGCCGGGTCCAGTGCAACCTGGATGTCATGAATCGCCTTTTGTTAACATCAGATCCATTTTTAAGCTGCAGTAGACCTAAATCCATTAAAAAGTTAAAACCGTTCAGGCCGGAGACAATTAAAATGTTACTTCCATGGGATGCGGAGGACAAAGATGAAACTAGCGAAGGTGACGAGGAGTCAGATGAAGAAGAGCGAGATGCGACTTAATTTTCGTCTTATTAAAAAAATACAATATATTAATTACTTTTTTACTACATAAAAAATACTAATAAAATTATTAATTACCTATTAAATATTTTTGTTTCATTTTTCCATTTTTAGATAATTACCAACCCAATTTCAATAAGCTTTGCTTTTGATGACAATAATTTATCACTATAGCTTCAAATAAAAATAAAGGAAAGCGCATATAATTTTGATCGACAATTTGGGTCAAATACTCCACTGTGCGTCTACGAGTACAGTACATATCATCATGGTTCGGAGACTTGCCACTCTTCATCGACTTAATGGTGTGTTTCATTTCTTAATATAAGAAGAAACTATATAAGGGGCTAATTGTATAGTTTTCCTATATTTGCAACAATTCTTCGGTTTTTGTCACTATTTCATTGTGCTCATTCTTAATGAAATTTGGCGATTATTATACAGCCCAGCTATTTCTTTGCCTTTTTATGTAAATGAAAGTTGTCTCCAAGTTTGTTAAGATCTTCAGACAACTTTCATGCATCCAATTCTCTTTTGCCACTCTAATCTCATTTCGTATTCTTCTTTGAAGACTTCTGTTCTGACATCTGACTTCTATTTGCCTTCGCTTCTCCATTACTTTCAGAATATCTCTATAATCACCTATAATAAAGAAACTAAGTACAAAAAAGTATTGTACTTTTTTTTACCCATAAAATGAAGTACTTCGCGATTGCGACTATTAATTTTATCACTTGAAGCATTACATAATCAATTTAAACCAAGATATTTGATTAATAACTGATACATTTTGAGATATTAGCTTTAGAAATAAAATGCTCCAAGGTACACCTTCCTTTATACATATATCATAAATTTTAAAACAAATTAATAATTATTTGAAATATTCACAATAATTTATCTTCCATTCCCTTATACATATACTTAATTTTATGACCAATTTTATGTATTTTTTAGATTTTTTAGTCTTGGAAGTGTTAGATCGCCTGAATATAAAAATGGACAACTCATTTTAGAATATAAAAACGGATATTTCGATAAAAATTGTTTTAGAGATGCTTCCGCAATAATTTATTTTAACTGTTCTAAAGACAATGAAAATGAACCAACGTTTTTGAAGCACGAAAATTGTCGTTACGAATTCCAATGGAACACAAAGTACGCGTGTCCAAATGAAATAGATTGTGTAAAAAAAGACAATTTAGATAACTCAATAAGTTTCGAAAATGTGAAATCAACCTCGATTCAAATTAAATCCGAATTTAAAGTTTACACAATCGATATTTGTAAAGATCAATTTATAACAACCGATTTAAGCAAAAACGAAAAGCACGAATTTAACGTTTTCGCAAACGTCCAAACAAACGAAAATGGGACTTTTCTCAAATACAAATTAGCGAAATCTTGTCGAGATAAAACCGACTTTGATGAGATAAAAATCGAATTGGATTGTGAACCACTTTTAAATAACGATCATTACGAGGGTATCACCATTTCAAATTGTTTGCTTTATCTCAAATTAAAACACAACGATTTTTGTGCTTTTACACCAACGACACTAAAAACAATTACTTACGAAGAGAAAATTTCAATTAATAAAGAAAAAATTTATCATTACAACATAGAACCAAAAATAATCGATTGCACTATTCGTTTCAATTCTAAGGATATTCATTTAAACACGCTTCCACCTCTAACTGTTAAATCGCCGAATAAGAAATTTAATTATGCTAATTACACAATCGGTTCGAATTCAACATCGGTGTGTTACCCACACTTTATTTGCAAAGAAAATAAACCTCTCGTCACATTAAAAGAATGTCCGAACGTAACGACGGAAAAAAACGGATTAAAATTGATGTTTAATTCAACGTTTGGTAATAAAAGTGAAATATTTTTTTATTGCAATACAAATGAGGAGGAATCTCTACCGGTAGTTACCTTGGAACTAAAAGATTTCGTCTCTTTTCGATATCCCTTAAAAACAATATGTGATTATGAAAATCTAAGTGAAGGTACAAGTTCCTTATTAATTATTGGAATCGTTGTTTGTGTTATTATTATTTGCCTTGGAGGGGTGATTTTGTATAATAGACGATTCCTCAGGAGGCTTTGTAACAAAGATAAATCAAATACTTACGTTTATTGCAAAGTAAGATTTTTTTTGGTATAATTCATGTTGCTTAAAAATCGATATTTTTTTTTAATCTCAGTTTAAAGTTTCGACATGTTGTTTCTTAGGTTTTCAACGCTAAAGATAATCTAAAATCTATACCCTCCTCTTTAATTTATTGATTCCTGAATGCTAGATACTGTTGGCAAAAGATTAATTATTGCTATCAGAAGATTAAATACTGCTAGTAAAAGACTAAAAACTGCTTGGAAAGAAAAAATACTATTTCAAAAAGTTACCTACTGCTTCTAAAATGCTAGATATTGCAGGAAAAGACCATAACTTACTTGGAAAAGACTAGATACTGTTTTCAAAATAATACTTATTGCTTCTAAAACGCTAAATACTGTTGTTAAAAATTTTTACATACTTGGACAGGCGGAATACTGCTTCCAAGGCCACTTATTGCTATAAAAGACTTTAATAATTGTTTGGAAAAGAGATATGCTTTCCAAAAAGCTACCTACCGCTTCCAGAATGTTAGATACTGCTGGAAAAGACTAATAACTACTTGGAAAGAAGAGATATGCTCTCTAAAAAAGGTATCTACTGCTTCCAAAATGTTAGATACTAGTGGAAAAGATTACAATCTGCTTGGAGAAGACTAGATAGTGCTAACAAACAACTACAAACTGAGTAAACCATAGAATTTGTATGTACTACTGGTTAATATCTTATTTTCAACCATACCTTAAACTTACCTAGCGCCCTCTAAGGGGATGAAATTGACAACTCCTTTGATTTTTTTATAACAACTTTTTAACGCTATGGAATATTGACATAAAAAAATATGGGTTGTAAAGCTTATTCATTATTGGTACTTTTTTGTCTCTTTAGTTTGTTCCTTAAAGTTAATAGTTTTAGCGTAAAAAAATAAAATATGCTACCTTGTACTGTAAAGCACTGCTATTATTAAAAATTTTTTTTTCTTTATAGCTGGCTATGGAAGTTGTGCACTTACTAGGATCTAGTACTAACTAAACAAAACACCAATTAATTGTGATTTTCATAAGAAAAACCATAAATAAGATAATGTCTGTCTGAAGAAATTACGTTGTTTTAAAAAATTGATTCTTTTGCTTAATAACAGTAAAAAATTATTAATAATCATCAACAATTATGAGGATTCACTACAAGTTCTCAGAGCCAACATTTAGAATAATTTTTGCTCAACATAGCGGTACATGGCACAATATTTTATTTTTTTACACGGAAACTATTAACTTTAAGGAAAATACTAAAGAGACAAAAAAGTACCACTAAAGAATGAGCTTTACAACCCATATTGTTTTATGTTTATATTCCATACCGTTAAAAAGTTCTTAAAAAAAATCAAGGAGGTGGTGAATTTCATCCCCTTAGAGGGCGCTTGGGAAGTTTAAGGTATGGTTGAAAATAAGATCTTAACCAGTAGTACATACGTACAAAGTTTCAAATTCTACGGTTTACTTACAGCCGAAATACAAAACAAAATGTAAATTTTTGGCTCAACTTTGATCGCTCATAGCTTGAAAACAAAAGAGTTGCGACCCTATGTTTATATGAAAAATTTGTGTTATTTTGGCAAGTACTACATCCTAGTAAAGTTTCCCGATTAAAAACTGAACCACCCTGTATATACAGGTGTCCAGAAATGACGTGTACAACGCAAGACCACAAGTACCTTGACCAAAAATATGATGTTTTAACTAAACTTATCTATATACAAAATTGCTTAGTTTAGTCGCTAGAGGGCTTTAAAAATTCATGATGAATCAAAGATAAAAGGCAAAACGAAAAATGCGAATACTGCTGTCAAGTTTAAGTGACAAAATGTTTTTGTTTTTAAAATTAATTATACGTTTTAACGTTTTTAGTTACCTTGCATCACTTATTCGCGCTTGTGGGGATTTACAAAATATTTTTTTGTAGCTAAACCGTTCAACCAACTGTTCAAATTTTGTAAGAGAGATAATAGTTTCTAAATTAAAGTAACTATTCAGAAAAATAAAATGGTAGTGTTTGTACAGGGAGTGAAAAAGATATGGATGCATAATTTATTGTTACAAAGTTTTTGAACACCCTATAATTTTCGAAATTAGAGTTTATTCCACAAATAGCTGTAATCTACTGAGACAAATGCATGACCAAAAAATTAATAAAATCCATCGAGGATTTTTCGACTTATTAAAAAAAATAAATAAAAAACATTTTTAAAGCCCTCTAGCGGCTAAACTAAGCATTTTTGTATGTAGATAAGTTGAGTTAAATCATCATATTTTTGGTCAAGGTATTTGTGGTCTTGCGTTGTACACGTCATTTCTGAACACCCTATATATTAAAAAGGATGTAAATTTAATTATATTTCATATAATTTATGCAAAAGATTTTAAAAAGGAACTCGCGTACATTTATCGAGAGCCACAAATAATCCTTCAAAGAGCCGCAGTTTAGCCACCGTTGTTCTATAAGACTACTTACTGCTTTCAAAGCGCTATATACTACTAGAAAAAATTACCACCTGCTTGGAAAAGACTAAATACTGCTGGGAGAAACTATTATCTGCTTGGAAGGATAAAATACTGTTTTTAAAAGACAATTTCAGAATGCTAAATATTGTTGGAAAGACTACTAATTGCTTGGAGAAACCTAGATATTGTTGGCAAAGACTATTTAATGCTTTTAGAAGACTATATAATAATAATAAATCCTTTATTTTCAACCATACAATAGATTATTAACAAAAAAAATATATATACCGGGTGATTCAGACCACCCATACCAAGGATTTTTCTCAAAAACGCGATTACCTAAGAAATTGCAATAAAAAATATGATAATAATAAATTCGTCGTGCAGTTAATGCTGTAGGGAAACGAGCAAGAAGGTGTGTGGCCGTTGATGGCAACGATTTTTTAAACACCTATTTAAAATTTTAAGAACAAAAATGAACGTAAAGAAACTTTAACGTTCAAAAACGTTGCCATCAACGGCCACACACCTTCTTGCTCGCCTCCCTACAGTATTAACTGCACGATGAATTTATTATTATCATATTTTTTATTGCAACTTCTTAGGTAATCACGTTTTTGTGCAAAATCCCTGGTACGGGTGGTCTGAATCACCCGGTATATACATATTTATATCAATAAAAAGAGAAGAACTAAAACAAAATAAATGTAATGCACAAAAAAGGTGCTGGGTTCAAATTGCCACAAAAGTTGTATTTGTTCTACCACCCAGCCCCATTACAAAAGAAAACAAAAATTGGAACAAAACACAAAAAATAAAAAAAATATATATAATAAAAAACCAAACTAAATTAAATTTCCAAAATAATAACAAACTTAGCTGTCATTGAATTTATTATCAGCCTCCTAAGCCACTCAACTGACCCGCAATGATGGAAGCCTTCAATCTTCGCTTAAAGATCTGAATAGACATACTGGTCTTGACATGAACAGGAAGGACTTTTTAAAAAATTCATGTTTATGTTGTGGAGGAGTCAAATTGCCCTTAAACCTTAAGTTCAATGTATGCACATCAGACCTAAATTTTATTTTATGGTAAAGATAAGCAGGTTTCCCGCCAATAATAACAGTGTGGAACAGCGTAGCGGAGTGAAGCAGCATTCGATTGCACATATTTAACCATGGAACAACTTGAAGCTTGTGAGATACGTGCTGCCGCCTCCTAATACCGTATATTAGCCGCAAGAAGGCATTTTGTATACTCTGCAGCTTACACCTATCTCTGGCGGAAGTATTAGGTCCATAAACAACATCACAGAAATTTTAGTTCTCAAGGGTAAAATCAGCGCGAAACGTATATCATTTTTAATACCGCATACGATCGCTGCGTACACTTATTAACGTGCTCCGAAAAGGTGAGCCCCTCATCCAGCAACAAACCTAAACTGCGGACGCAAGTTTTTAGTGGTATGCACTGACTGTCAATAACAACCCTCAACCTCTCTCTGAATGAAGTGTCACTTCTAGTTTTTTTAGAACCAAACAAAATTAATTCGCTTTTCGCAGCATTCAAACGTAAAGTATGTTTACAGGACAAAACTCTTAACTGTTCAAGGTCATCATTCAACCTATCATAGGCAATGTCTACCTCGTGGGGAAAAAACGAGATGTATAGCTGCGTGTCATCAGCATAAATGTGACAATTAGAGTGAGACAAAAAGTTTATGAAAGAAGACACATAAATAGAGTATAGAAGGGGTCCCTGAAGCGATCCCTGTGGTACCCCAGAAGCAACTTCCGAAAAAGTAGATCTAACTCCATCAACCTCAACACATTGCACCCGATCACGAAGATAGCTAAGCATGAAAGTCGAAGCTGAAGGACTTAAACCAATGTGTTACAAAATCGCAAACATTACTGAATAATTCAGAGTATCGAAGGCCTTACTATAATCAAGCAAGCAGAGTAAGGTCATTTTACCCTCATCAGATGCTCGCAACATATACTGCTGCTAAAACACTACTAAGTACTACTGGCTAAAGACTATTCTTCTGTCGAATGATATCTTTCTGTGTCCCTTCCGTTAGAGATTTAAAAATTGCTATTACGACACTCGATTCTTTGTTACCCAGATGCGACATATCTTTTTAGAGGGGAGTAGGGCCCCTCTCTTTAAACGGTACATCCACCTAATGTACTGATTTATTTCAGAATTCTGTGCAGAAATTCCACTTTGAGTTAGGTTAATTAACATTGAAAGCAGTGCTAATTTGTCTAGTTTTGCACTAGAACTAACACAAGACCTAGAAGTAGAATCATTCGGTCTAGGTTTTCAAACGCACGGCTAAACCCGACCCAATCCAACCCCCTTTGTTGAGTTATAAATAACATCACATCAAGCTTTTCACTTTCGTTATATACAATTTTTATCGTAGTGCGTGGATGAGAGGAGGATTACGAATTTACTTTTGTATGTGTATATGGTACTACAAATGTTTGAAACCTATTAATTGTATAAAGTTCCAAGGAAATGTATACAATGCTGAAATAATTTAGGAAAAATTTAAAATAATTTGTCAAAGTTTCTTTAATACGCATTCGTGTGCATTAATCTTTCTATTTCTAATCTCCACATCTTTTCATTAATATCTTCTCTCCACCTCTTCCGTGATCTTCCTTATGGTGTCCAGTGCAGCATTTTCTTTGGTAGTAGATCCTAACTCCATCGTTTGTACTCATGGCCGTACAATCTAATTTGGGCAGTTCTTATGTCATCTAAAACGTCGTTTTATTATATCTTTATATATGTCTATTTTATCCTTTATTGGCCACCTTTAGCTGTAGGTTATTATACTTCTAATTATTGAGTTGTATATTTTATGTTTACTTTCTTGAGGTATATGTTTAGCTCACAGTATACTGTGATTAGATACTTCAGATTTCTGAAGTATTCCCTTCTGATGGCGCACTGACAAGCTTGTAACTTTGGTGTTAACAACAATAAAAATGTGAACAAAAAACAGAAATGATCAGAACAGACGACACTACAAGCTCCTTATGTTTAAAATTAATTTCTTTTGTCTGTGCACCCCACAGCAAGCTTCAAAATGTAGGAAGAAAACACGCATTAGCGTTATTCACCATTGCTGACATTAAAAAGCGCCAAATGGGGAAGGTACCTACAGAAATATTAGCAAAGGCCTTTCAAATAAAAAAACCTTATTTAAATCGAGCAATACGTTCAAAAGTTATTGCAGTTAGAATCTGGTCATCATTTAGGTGATGCGTTTTTTTTGTCGCTGATTGTAGTTTTCGGTCTAGTGCTATTGACACACAGTCTATCTAACGACAGGTAGTCAGTTGTTATGTATTGAAAACAAGGGTGTTTCATCTGTAAATATACCTAGTTAAGTGAAAATAACTTTACTTTTAAGTTTATAAGATTAATTTTGTGCGTGGCCATAAAATAAACAACTTGTATGTTAGGTGTTGACCGGTTTAATAAGAAATTGCTTGGTTAACATTGCTTATGACGTCACAAAACGTGACGTCACATCGAAAGTTTAATTTATTAAAAAAAATCGTGATTTTTAAGCGACATGATGATTCTTGAATTTTTGTGTTGTAAAAATTAAAATATTAAATTACTTTTTTTGTTGCAGAATAGTGAACTTTAAATAGTATTATTTTATTCCACTTTTTAAATTTTTTTGGAGTTTTTATCTATTAATTATTTAATGTTAATTTCCCAGTGTTTTTTATACTTTTTTTTTCTTTAAATTGCGTTAATAAAACTAATAATTTATTATTATTTTATTCTTAAACATCAAAAGAATTCGTCCTAACCTAAAAAAAAAACAATTTTATGCGTAATAACCAACTTCTTCAAACTTTGCCTTTATATTATACAACTTAATACATATCCTCTTGGTTAATATCGCTCATAAAATGCATCCCCCTTTCTTGTAAAGCTTTAGCAATTTTTTTTTGTTGATCCTGTTTTTGTTCTTGCTCTTTTCTTTGAGCATCTAAAATATCCTCCACAGACACCTCACTTAGTGGTAATTCCCCCTCTTTTTCGGTATCCTAAAATTTTCTTTTTACAAAATAATCCCACATATTTTCGTTTTAATTACAATTTCACCTAAAAGTACCACATTTTCACCTCGTACTATAAAAACACCACGGGGAATGTCCCCATATTCTTTCCCAACGTGTATCCTTTCGATCGTTCTGTGTAAAACGAGATTTGCAAATTGATCAACACTTCGGAGATAACCGATTAAAGTTCTTCCATCTCTAAGTAAAACCATGAGTTTTTCTAAAAAACCGGGTCATTCAAAATTATTTAAATCAAAATAACCCCTTACTGTCTAATTCATCTAAAAGATGAGCGGTTCCTTCTAATTCTGGCTTATTCATTTTAAAACATACAAAATAACGGGACTCAAACTACCAGACAATAATTTAAGGTTATGTTTAATATCAACATTAATGAAGTTAGTTGCAAGTGCCGCTGTATACAGAGTCGTTATTATCCGCTTATTTTCTTCTTTTAATAATTAATCTAACCTATTTTTAAGGTTATCTAATTGTTTATAAATAAAATTAAAAAAACCACAAGAAAGTGAACCGATTTCTCTTAAAAGTAACTGTTTCGTGACCTCAGTTTTAAGTGATATTTGCCGCAATACGTGACTGCGTTTACAAAACTCGATTTTATAATATTATTATTATATATTAAAAATGTCCGAAGAAGACTTATATTTAGGATTAGATTTAAGCACTCAACAGGTGAGAGAAAATTAAAGGTTAATTAATAAATTATCTTAATAATTTAAGTTGGTATTGCGCATGCGCCAAACTTATAAAAATAAAAAAAATCGAAAATTTTAATTTCAGCTTAAAGCGANTCAATGTATCAGAACTATGTCAGAAATACATCAGATTATGTCAAAATTATCAAAGATGTATCAAAATTATGTCTTATATAAACGTAACGTCAGATATATACAAGATATGAATTTGGAACACCTCAGAACGTTCTCAAATGTGATTGATATAGATCAGAACTATAAGATTATTGCCAGCATTCTGAGGAATGTATTAAAATTGTCTACAATATATCAAAAATATGTCAAACATCTCAGTATGCAAGAACTGCATTGATTTATAGTACAGATGTGTAATCAATGTATCAGAACTATGTTATATTTGTCAAAAATACATAAGATTATGTCAAAATTATAGAAGATGTATCGAAACTATGTCTAATATAAACATAACGTCAGATATATGCAAGATATGAATTTGGAACACATCAGAACGTTGTCAAATGTGACTGATATAGATCAGAACTGTAAGATTATTGCCAGCATTCTGAGGAATGTATTAAAATTTCCCACAATATATCAAAACTGTGTAAAACATCTCAGTATGCAAGAACTACATTGATTTATAGTATAGATATATAATCAATGTATCAGAACTATGTCATATATGTCAGAAATAGATTAGATTATGTCAAAATTATCAAAGATGTATCAAAACTAATATCCATTTTAACTGGTTTTAGACTCATAAGCATCAAACAACGTAAATCAGACTTTGACGTTTGTCAATAAGTCATTAAACATTTGTTTTCCATGGCACACTAGGTTAAATATCCATATGATATGTGTGCATTTTTCCAAAAACCCTAATTATCTCCAAAACTATTAATGTTAGGTATAGGACATATGGGATATAAAAGATGTAAAATAAGACACCGAAGACGACTAAGTAATAAAATATGAGAGGTGCTATTTAAAAAAATGAAGTTATGGTACTTCAAAGTTTCGAAAAGTTAAGGTGCTATAGTAAAGTGACCAAACGATCTACACAGCCGTTCTCGGCACCAAAACATATTCCATCATGTTGCTTAAGCTTGTTCTGAATCCTAAATTGATATCCCAAAAATCGAGTGTTCTCTGATTTTTTGAACAAATGTCTGCTGGAGCAGATTTTTCTAGAAAAATTCGAATAACTCGAGAACGGCCGAATCAAATTGCAAAAAGTAAAGTTATTTATAAACCTTGAAAACAGACAAATCCAAATATGTAAAAATATACATTTTCGAATAACCTAAAAGTGTCAAAAAAGATGCTAATTT